AATCTTGCTCGATACAAGTATATGTATAAAGTAATTACTTCAATATTCCAAATTACACGTTTGTCATTACACAATCTTACTCGATACAAGTATATGTATTAAGTAATTACTTCGGTAATTTTTCGGCACGCGATATGTTAACTTGGGCCGGAAGACATGCCGTGTAGGAGAGGAGGATTTACTAGTGCGGCAGCAACTCGGGAGAACAATTAAGAGAGTTCGGAGACACCAGCGAAATGCTGCATTGGAGCTTGGACATGTCCAAGATTGGGGTAAATGATCTGGAACTGGTTGACGCGTTGTTGCCAATTACTCCCAAGATGCGTAGATCACTGCAGCTCGGCGAGAGTTAAGGACATGTTAAATAGTGTGTTCTAATTTATTTCTGTAGACACAAATAAAAAGAAAAATATACTATATTACGCTGGTAGAATAACATTTATAACAATGGATACGGATTTAAATTGAAAAATCGTTTTCATGAAGATCTACGAAATCGGTAAAAGGAGAGAATTTCATCATTGAAGATCCAGGAAATGGACATGCGGAGAAAAACTGGGTTTTTATAAATACAGATTAATTAAAAATTGTAGCTTTGGATCTTATAAAGTATCCAGTGTGGCTAGCAAATAAATCGGTGCATTTGTTGCAGCAAAAATATGGAGGTCACATTTCGTGTGGTGGAATTGCCCCAAACGTATTTGTATCGATTTCTGAACGATTTTGTGTTCCAATCCAAAATTTTGTTCAGAATTATTTTGGATCAGGCAAACCATAGGCATTATATTTTAATATATTTCAAAACCTCATCACCAATTCCGAGACAATTCGCGCAGTCAGACACAATTTTCTTTTAAAAATTTACATATTAAAAAAGCGATTTTTTTCCTCTATTCGTATTTGCTTGTACGTCACCAAAATACTATAAATATTATTACTGTATTATGAATATAGTCACGAAGGTCACTTGTATTTCTGTGATGGCCATGAACTAAAAACCATATTCTCTTGGGCAGCTGGGGCAGTTTTCTCTTGGACCCTGGAATTATGTACATGGGAACACATTCCGCGGTATAGTCTCGTTATCATTATCCTGGCACTTGTCTTTTTGTTTTTTAAAACAATACATTTAAAATACATAAATTTATGTTAGCATATTTACGTGTTCTTCTCTTTTTATGCCTATGTGTTATAACAGTAAACTCGCCGTGAAGTGAAGTCATATACGACAGGATTCCCTCGTAGCAATGTAATAAATAAATAAGTACAACAGAATCACTAGTTACTTCAAACAATACATTCATTCCTAAATCTTTATGTCATGGTCAACTCTCACCGGAATTTACACCATCGTATTAGTTGAACAGAAGAGTCTTCATGTGCCGTCTAAACAGACAAAGGAGTTCACATCCGATAGCATCATCGTAAGTTAAGGTGTTTTTTTTTTTTTTTTCAGAATAAGATGAACAAAATAACGACGTTTATCAAAAATATATATAACATTGTTTTTATTAAGTGTTTACATATTTTATAAGGTGACCTCATGTCCTTTTTAAAGCAATAAATGCAACAAAACATTTTTCTATAATTTTTGGTAAAGTTAAGCTATATATTATAAGGAAATTATTCAACATTGAAAGAAATGCGACGGGGATATATAAGTAAAATTGTGTGGACAAAAAAAGCTATGATATGTTTTCATCTTTTCAACACATAATATCACAGTTTAAAGAGCAAGAACCCATTTAACTTTCCCTTTGGGTCAAAAGTCAAACGTGAGTTACCGGTCTCTCTCCGAGAGAAGAATATAAAGATTTTATAATAATCAACCTCCGTTTGGCTAGCTCTGTCTTGCTCTCTCCTAGTTGAAATGATTGTAGATATTCTTTTAAGCAGAAAATAAAGAAAAGAAACAACTCGAGCTGTCAGTTCTATGTCTAAGAAATCTCTGATTAGCTCCTGCCAAAACAATGTTATCTTCCTGGTTATAAAGAAGATGTTTCACAGTGAAATCTGCAGCTGCTCAGATAAATATCATGGTAACATCACTGCACTAGTACTTCATACCAGCTATCATATATCTTCTTGTATTATCCAATACTGCTATTATAGATTCAATTAGGTGTCTGGTTACTTATGATGATAATATACACTTGACCAAAAAAGTTCACAAACATGAAATTGTTTTTCAGTTATTTAAAAAATATGTAATATAGTGGGAAAACCTTCAGTGTATATAAAAAAGAAATGAATAAATGATGCATTCTCCGTCAATATTTGGATAAAATATTTACCTTAGCTCAAATAGTTATTTCATTATTATTCAAAATGTTTCTAAAATTTTTTGGTCAAGTGTACAGACTCCCAAAGTCAAGAATCAAAGTCAGAGTAGAAGCAGATCCATTAGTATAGCATCTGTATAATAAAATAGAGCAGGATTATCTCATAATGTGTTCACACAACATGACACAGACACATGGAGGTCTGGCAGAGCACATCCTACATCATGTCTGTTTCACTACAGTGGCAGTGGTAAGGAACGGATTTGTGAAATCAATAACTGAGAATATGTTATGTCATGGTACAAGCTCATCTTTTTATATAAGAATTTGCCATGGCAGTGAAGGGTATGACTGGTAGGGGTTCACCCTGACCTCTTCTTCCTCTCAACGACAACGAATCCTCCAAAAATCCAGAGCTGGGTTCATCTCAATCCTCAAACCATCCAGATCCAAGATATCCTCAATCCTCAANAAAATGCTAGCCAAACTTACCTCTGGAGAACCCATCTTTGGTTTAAATGACACTAAATTACAATATCTTAAGCTTAATTTTTTCACCCCCCACCAAATCCCGCCCTTTGAATTTTTTTTTTTTTTTTTTTTTTTTTTTTTTTTTTGAAATGCTGAAGAAATTTGCCGCTATGTTGTAGTCTCCAATGTAAACAGTTACCCGTTACAAAGTCCATAAAGATAACACCTCGGGAGCATTGAGCTTCACCTTGCCGCCAGGTTAACAGAGGCCGGCGAACCTGGTCAATGTCAGGGGCCACATTGAACAGGTCAGAAACCTCTTAATTAAATCAAGATAGTTTTCGCTCGGGTTTAGACACGTTTTCCTTTTTTTAATTCGATAACTTAACCGAATTTTCCAGTTAAGGAAATCGAAGATATAAAACAAGGTCATTTGGCATTTGCAATTCCCGTGCGTGGAGCGCCAATTGCAACAACAAGAGGCAGGCTTCTGTCTGGGGAAGCTGGAGATGTAAGAATACCGCACCATATTTTCGTTCTTTTCTACACATTTTATACATGAGTGTATTGCCTTACCACTATTGACGTATATACTTGTGTCAAAACCATCTTTAAATGCACGTTATTTATTACAAATCCGTAGTTTTGCAGTGTCAGAATGTCTTTTATATAACACAGATAATCAGCATTCCAAATTACGTTTCTTATTACACAATCTTGCTCGATACAAGTATATGTATAAAGTAATTACTTCAGTATTCCAAATTACACGTTTGTCATTACACAATCTTACTCGATACAAGTATATGTATAAAGTAATTACTTCGGTAATTTTTCGGCACGCGATATGTTAACTTGGGCCGGAAGACATGCCGTGTAGGAGAGGAGGATTTACTAGTGCGGCAGCAACTCGGGAGAACAATTAAGAGAGTTCGGAGACACCAGCGAAATGCTGCATTGGAGCTTGGACATGTCCAAGATTGGAGTAAATGATCTGGAACTGGTTGACGCGTTGTTGCCAATGCATTACTCCCAAGATGCGTAGATCACTGTAACTCGGCGAGAGTTAAGGACATGTTAAATAGTGTGTTCTAATTTATTTCTGTAGACACAAATAAAAAGAAAAATATACTATATTACGCTGGAAGAATAACATTTATAACATAATGGATACGGATTAAAATTGAAAAATCGTTTTCATGAAGATCTACGAAATCGGTAAAAGGAGAGAATTTCATCATTGAAGATCCAGGAAATGGACATGCGGAGAAAAACTGGGTTTTTATAAATACAGATTAATTAAAAATTGTAGCTTTGGATCTTATAAAGTATCCAGTGTGGATAGCAAATAAATCGGTGCATTTGTTGCAGCAAAAATATGGAGGTCACATTTCGTGTGGTGGAATTGCCCCAAACGTATTTGTATCGATTTCTGAACGATTTTGTGTTCCAATCCAAAATTTTGTTCAGAATTATTTGGGATCAGGCAAACCATAGGCATTATATTTTAATATATTTTAAAACCTCAACACCAATTTCGAGACAATTCGCGCAGTCAGACACAATTTTCTTTTAAAAATTTACATATTAAAAAAGCGATTTTTTTTCCTCTATTCGTATTTGCTTGTACGTCACCAAAATACTATAAATATTATTACTGTATTATGAATATAGTCACGAAGGTCACTTGTGATGGCCATGTACTAAAAACCATATTCTCTTGGGCAGCTGGGGCAGTTTTCTCTTAGACCCTGGAATTATGCACATGTGAACACATTCCGCGGTATAGTCTAGTTATCATTATCCTGGCACTTGTCTTTTTGTTTTAACAATATATTTAAAAATACATAAATTTATGTTAGCATATTACCGTGTTCTTCTCGTTATATGCCTATGTGTTATAACAGTAAACTCGCCGTGAAGTGAAGTCATATACGACAGGATTCCCTCGCAGCAATGTAATAAATAAATAAGTACAGCAGAATCACTAGTTACTTCAAACAATACATTCATTCCTAAATTTTTATGTCATGGGCCACTCTCATCGGAATTTACACCATCGTATTACTTGAACAGACGAGTCTTCATGTGCCGTCTAAACAGACAAAGGAGTTCACATCCGATAGCATCATCGTAAGTTAAGGTGGTTTTTTTCTGAATAAAAGATGAACAAAATAACAACGTTTATCAAAAATATATAACATTGTTTTTATTAAGTGTTTACATATTTTATAAGGTGACCTCACGTCCTTTTTAAAGCAATAAATGCAACAAAACATTTTTCTATAATTTTTGGTAAAGTTAAGCTATATATTATAAGGAAATTATTCAACATTGAAAGAAATGCAATGGGGATATATAAGTAAAATCGTGTGGACAAAAAAAGCTACTATATGTTTTCATCTTTTCAACACATAATATCACAGTTTAAAGAACAAGAACCCATTTAACTTTCCCTTTGGGTCAAAAGTCAAACTTGAGTTACCAGTCTCTCTCCGAGAGAAGAATATAAAGATTTTATAATAATCAACCTCCGTTTGGCTAGCTCTGTCTTGCTCTCTCCTAGTTGAAATGATTGTAGATATTCTTTTAAGCAGAAAATAAAGAAAAGAAACAACTCGAGCTGTCAGTTTTATGTCTAAGAAATTTCTGATAAGCTCCTGCCAAAACAATGTTATCTTCCTGGTTATAAAGAAGATGTTTCACTGTGAAATCTGCAGCTGCTTAGATAAATATCATAGTAACATCACTGCACTAGTACTTCATACCAGCTATCATATATCTTCTTGTATCATCCAATACTGCTAATATAGATTCAATTAGGTGTCTGGTTACTTATGATGATAATATACACTTGACCAAAAAAGTTCACAAACATGAAATTGTTTTTCAGTTATTTAAAAAATATGTAATATAGTGGGAAAACCTTCAGTGTATATAAAAAAGTAACGAATGATGGATGCATTCTCCGTCAATATTTGGATAAAATATTTACCTTAGCTCATATAGTTATTTCATAATAATTCAAAATGTTTCCAAACTTTTTAGGTCAAGTGTACAGACTCCCAAAGTCAAGAATCAAAGTGAGAGTAGAAGCAAATCCATTAGTATAGCATCTGTATAATAAAATAGAGCAGGATTATCTCATAATGTGTTCACACAACATGACACAGACACATGGAGGTCTGGCAGAGCACATCCTACATCATGTCTGTTTCACTACAGTGGCAGTGGTAAGGAACGGATTTGTGAAATCAATTACTGAGAATATGTTATGTCATGGTACAAGCTCATCTTTTTATATAAGAATTTGCCATGGCAGTGAAGGGTATGACTGGTAGGGGTTCACCCTGACCTCTTCTTCCTCTCAACGACAACGAATCCTCCAAAAATCCAGAGCTGGGTTCATTTCAATCCTCAAACCATCCAGATCCAAGATATCCTCAATCCTCAATCCTCAAACCATCCAGATCCAAGATATCCTCAATCCTCAAACCATCCAGATCCAAGATATCCTCGATCCTCAATCCTCAAACCATCCAGATCCGAGATATCCTCAATCCTCAAACCATCCTGATCTGAGTTCACCTCAATCCCAAGCCAAAGTAATCTGCAGCCACATAAGCAGCCACAGCCACATTCAAACCAATGCTGACCCCAAGCAGGCTTTGCCAGAACAAGGAGCTCTTACTCTGTGCTGAAATAAGATAAAACCACCAGTAAAAACATGTTACTATACCTAATAGTAATACCATGACAGTGATGCATCTGAACAATATAAACAAAACAAAAAAGTTCATAAATGGATATTATCAGCTGTCACAGCCACCCATGAGTAGGGACTTGGGGGGGGGGGGGGGGGGGGGGGGGGGGGGGGTCTACCTGACATTTACAACAGGGTCCTGGCCACTATACCACCTAGCAGTCAGTGAGTGTCAACATCTACTCACATCAGTATGATGAAGGCCTTCGCCCAGGTTGGCCGTAAGCTAACTGTATGAAAATATTTCCACTTGTGTTTGATAATTTTCATTTATGATCCAACTACCAAGCTAATGAAGATTTTTGCTAACAAAAAGTTACTTAATTATGAAGCCAACAGAATGTTCACTGATTAGATACCTGGTAAAACAGATATTAAGTCACTTTGTCAGTACACTTCAAATATAATTAATTTATTGTGAACCTGAATATTTAATGTACAGCAATATATTTCATTAAAAGTGTCAGAGCATAACACATTTTCTCTTAAGTGTGAGTGTAAGTGTGAGTGAGTGTTGTTACCTTTTTTGTATTGTCATGTATTTGTGATGCATTTTGTAAATAAAGAAAAGGCCAACAGAAAGGAACAGGACAAATGAAAATAATGAATGAAATGGTAACTATGGGAAAAATATGAAGATTACCAAGTAGCCAGAAATGAACAAGTTTCTTTACGAGAACCATTACCATCCTGTCAGTTTTCATATACATATTATATACATCTGTTCATATTGTTTCATTTAAATGGAATTTACTACTAAAGTATGTGGAAAGGTGAGGAGAAAGATGAAGTATAGGCAAAAGTACAGACTAAATATAGTAAAGAAGTACAAGTGAGGAGGAGGAAGAGAAAGCGAAGACATGCAGCATAGGAAAAATGAAGAGGTGAATGGTGTAAAACAAGGGTTATTTAAGAACTTGTTAGATTCAACCAAAAAACCATCTTGAATGATACAAAAAATGTCTTGATTTCTAGCTGGATCTGCCCATTAAAACAGCAAATTCTGAACTTATACTTACTGTTACTTTTCTCTTCTTTTTCATATGGACATGAACTGTCCACAGGACAAAGAGATGAGGAAGATGAGGAGGAGTTGCTTTCTTCTTCTGTCATTTCCTTGTTGTTGTTGTGTCCTGTACTGGAACCATTCAAGCTACGTACTCCAGGACCTGAGGACAGAGATTGTGTTCAACTGTAGTGTGGAATAAGACCCATTACTACTGATAGTTTATAGTACAACTCTTCTGGTAAAGGGCAAAGAAAGAAGACATCAAGCATTACTCATGTTCTACTTATTTTTTACAGAAAAAAACCCTTGTTGGTTTGCCAATTTTTACCATTGGGAAAGATTTCCAAGCAATCAAGTTACCACATCATTATGTCATCCTTCTATATTTACCTTGCATACTTTGTCCAAATGAATTAACTTAAGTCAATCTAATACAAATGCACATTTAGACAACCAAATGAAGAACTTAATGAGACTCAAACTGATTGGAACATTCACATTAGTTGAAGAGCAATAATCTAGATGACAAGAAGCAGCAGGTGCCTGGCACACTGTTAACACACCTAGCAGGAAATGAGATCCTCAACTAATAGAGGGAAATAATGTGGTTTAAAAGCTCTTGGTCGCATTAATGTGATAGACATTCTCCTTCTGCAGCAGCCCTACATACAACCTGTGCACTGAAGATTCTTATAAATAAGACCAGGATTAAATTGCTTAAAAGATTGTGTGTTCGTGTCATACTGACAGTTATCATGATTTAAACAGATTTATTTCTGTAACTTTAGATATAATGTACCTGTCATTAACCAAGGTGTACTAACTAGAACTATACAATCATGAATACAATTATTAATTTCCTTTCAAAGAGGTGCAATTAAACACACTCATTTCTAACCAGCCAATAACGTCAGACTGTAGTCTCTGTAAGTCTCCAGTGTGCTAGCTAGCACTCCTCACCCCCGAGGACTGCTATAGACTGCCACTACCTACCACAGACTGTAGTCTCTGTAACAATCTCCGGTGTGCTAGCTAGCACTCCTCACCCCTAGGGACTGTTATAGACTGCCACTACCTACCACAGACTGTAGTCTCTGTAACAATCTCCGGTGTGCTAGCTAGCACTCCTCACCCCTAGGGACTGTTATAGACTGCCACTACCTACCACAGACTGTAGTCTCTGTAACAGTCTCCAGTGTGCTAGCTAGCACTCCTCACCCCTAGGGACTGCTTTAGACTGCCACTACCTATCACAGACTGTAGTCTCTGTAACAATCTCCAGTGTGCTAGCTAGCACTCCTCACCCCTAGGGACTGCTGTAGACTGACACTACCTACCACAGACTGTAGTTCTGTAGCAATCTCCAGTGTGCTAGCTAGCACTCCTCACCCCCGAGGACTGCTGTAGACTGCCACTTCCTACCACAGCTAGGCTGTCACTACTTACCACAGCTCTGAGAGAAGTTGAACAGTTTTCTAGCAGTCACTGCACCACGTCCAGCTGTCACTGCAGCGCCCCCTGCTGGTGACCCTGGACTGGCCGTGAACCTGGCAGGAGATATGAGTGGGCGTTTCTTCCCCAGTGATCCCAGAATGCCGCGCGGTGTAGGGGTGGTGGAGGTGACATGATTGGAGGAAATGACGCCCTTCAAGTCAAAAGCACCTACAGAGAAGATAACCGCTATGGTAATGACTTCCATCTTTTCAACTGGGAAAATTATCAATCTGTCAAATACATTTGATTAGCATTATTAAAAATTAAATTTTATGTAGCATTTGTGGTGCTTTTATGGTATTAAATATAATTAAAAGTAGCCTGCTTTTCTATTTATTTATTTCTTGCTATAGCTTAATGGGAATGATTTTATTAGAATTAATGACTTGAAGAAATAGTATAAGAAAAAATGCACAATTTTCCCCCACTGAAAAGATCAAGTTATAACTGTACTTAACAAATTTGTCCAAACATGAAAATACAAAGGATTTAAAACTAAACTATCAGATCACCCTAGGTTTGCTAAACATAAGAACAGTGTGAAAAACAGTGTGTCAGATGAATATAAACTATCGGTGGTAGATAAGTCCGTAGACGGAATCTTAAGTATAGAATTAATACATAAAATTACAGATAGAAATATTATACTTTTAATTGCTATCTCACTCCTGCAAACTTGCCTTATGGAAGAGATGCTGCTAATTTCTTTGCACATTTATTAGCGAAATGTTATATGTATGAGAGTTGCAACATACTTTGTCTATGCAGAGATTTAAATGCACGAATCGGTAATATGAGAGATTTCACGACTTAGGTCGATGAGATCCAGGGGAGGGATAGTATTGATGAGAAGACAAGTTCTCACAAATCAGAGCTGATTGAATTTCTTACTGAAAGTAAGACATGCATATTAAATGGTAGGGGTGATAAGGCACATAACAATTATACTTATTTAAAGAGAGGAAAATCAGTTGTAGACTACATTATTGCTCCACAAGAGAATTTCTCCAAAGTTACAGACTTTAGGGTACATACGATGAGTGATTATATAGAGAGAATCACAATCTACAGAGTCTTTTAAGTGGAAGATATAAACATCCTGATCACTCAATGTTGGAAGCTACACTGAAACACGCCCATATGGATAACTTAGGTTATGATGACATGCACAATATAAACCAACACAAACAAATAAATAGTTACAGCAGTGACCGCAGAATATACAAAGTTAAAGAAGATAAAAGTGACATCTTTACATCAGATATATCAAGGCTAGCAATCAAACAGCTTATAGATAGTATCAAACTCATGAGGGAAAATCAAAATGAAGTTGACTACATGTATGAATGCGTAGTTAAAGAATTAATTCATGAAATGAATGCCACTGTTCCCTTTATTGATATAAAAAATGGCGGGAAATCAAAAAAGAAGTTGAGAATATCCAAACTATATTGGTGTGACGAATTATTGGATTTACGGAAACGAATGCAGAATGCAGAAATTCAATACTCTAAATCTGAAGGCCATCAATATATTAGAAATAGTCTGTTCATTGATTATAAAACAAAATTACAAGAATATGACAAATGACTCCAGTATCATGAAAGGCGTTACAAAAGGAGACTAGCATGTTAAACAGAGATGGCCTGTGTCAAAGATCATCGCAAGTTTTGGGACAACATTAAAAAAGCCGGACCTAGGGGCAAATCACAAATCCCAGTGGAAACGTATAACAAAAATGGTGATGTAGTATATGATATCAATATTACTTACAAGAAATATGAAAGTGACTTTAGAAAATTGTATAATGAAACTGACATAAATGATTTCGATGCTGAATTTCTTGAACAAAGTCTAGAATATAGAAGACATATGGAGGGTGTAATGTCTGACCCCTTGTTTAATCCTAATTACAGCATAAATGGCACAATTGAAAAACAACAGGTTAGCGCAGCAGTAGCTAAGACAAAACAAAAGAATGCTACGGGAGTAGATAATATCCCCAATGAAATTTTGAAATACAAAACTATTATTGATTTACTAATGCCAATGTTCAATTTCATATTTGACACAACATTGTTACCAAGTATGTGGAAAAAGGCAATTATAATACCAAAACATACAAAAATATTAAGTAATTATATAAAGCGTGTCTATACGATACGGAGAGAGTTCATTTATAACGAGTAACGTCCTAGTTTGTATATGCATTCTATTATTTATACTAATATGTAATTAATATTTTATATTTCCATAGTTACTCTTAGTTGAACGTACAGCATTGCTATTTATACGTTTATTTCTACATTATTTATTGTTCCTATGTACTTTCATGTTCATTGATATATAATAATAATAACATGAACATGAAACAGTGACTTATAAGACCATTGGGGCTGGGTGCAAAAAGAAAAAAAATGTATCTGTATTACTTGCATTAGAGCACAGGTCACTTAAATAAATAAACAAAACAAAATAGATCAGCTTAACCTTTAAATAAAATCTCAAATAATTTAATGATTTTTCTAATGGGTATTGTTGAAATAATCCTATGATGGCAATCCATGAATTGTTATCCCTGTGTCATTCATCATTTCCTCATAAAAATTATACTCACACATTACTAATCACTGCATGACAACATTATCAAAACATTGAACATTCAGTCTTTGGTACAGTCTAGTGCCATGTGTGGTTATTAAAAATGCTTCTGGACACCAGAAACTAGTGTCAATTTTCAAAAGCAAATAACAGCCACCAGAAACTAGAGTCAGATTTCAAAAACAATTCTGGTAACCAAAAACTATTGTTACTAAAAAAATGATAATAATTAAAAAAAAAAAAAAAAAAAACAATTGTGGCAATGAAGTTGAATTGTTTATGAGGTTGACTGACTGCAAGATAATACTTCTTATATATAGCAAGCAATAGTATCACCTGTCATGACTTAGGGAGCTCATTAGATTTGTATGTCTCAGAAACACCTGAGAGAATTGGACAAACTGCAAAACAAATTTATTACTAGATTTATGGGTGTTTCCTCCAGACCTGATATATTAGATCTTTTAAAAGTTCTAGTAAATCCAAATACTAGTGCTGCTGTTATTAAATCAGCTAAATCCCTCTTCTGTAGGCTATGAGCATTCGCTCACCCTACCGTAAGATTTTATCACATCAATATCTCATTTTATATTCTATCACTCATTAGTGAGAGAGACGCTGCTAGAAAGGCTGATCTCCTGTGGTATAAATCTAATTTTAGACTTATGTTTTATGAAATCTGCTAGCAAAGGGTCACAGGAACCATAAGGACTATAGTAGACACATCAAGTTTTTTAGTCAATAGTCCCAGATATCAGGACAGACATTCTAAGGAATGCATACTTGGGGGACTACTTTTAAACTCTTTTAAACTGTCTTCTATATACGCTGTGTAATTTTTATGCATTTCATTTTATTCCACCTCATTTTTACTTATTTATTATATTCATTTTTTTAATTTTATCCTTTAAAGGCGATTATATAAATAAATAAATATGGAATATTATAACTAGAATGACCTAACTAATCCTAAAAATGTCAAATTCCACCTACCCTTGCCAGTTTTTCTCCTGGATGGAGGTCCCAAACTCATGGTTTCCAACTTGCTATCAATAGGATGCCCAGACTGCAAGGTCTCTCTTGTATCATTGTGATTGGGCAAATGTCTTGTCACATGACTTGTGGTCAACATGTGATTGGATATCTGATGTGTCATGTGACCTGATGCTCCTGTGTGATTGGATACTTGACTAACACTGTCAAAGTCCTCTGAAGATGCAGACATTCTGTCAGCGCCAGGACTAGAGTGGTGAGAGAGGTCTGACGTGTCTGACATAAAGCTGCTGGCTCTAGAAAGATTGGAAAAAATCGGTTTAGAAACCCAAGAGGACACATACTAAAAAATAAACTTTGCACGTAAGGAATAAAACACTCTCTTTTAAAAGAAAAAGATATTGTACAAGCATTTTAATTCTTAATAATACCAATACACATAGTGTCAATCCACAAACTTTTTCATGCCTGGCACTCTTGACTATTTTTGGGTTTGTACAAATAAAACATAGGCTTACAAAGGTTTCATTTAAACATAACATGCAATTTTTCCCTTTAAAATGGCCTTTCAAACAATTTTTTTTTACATAAAGGTATGACCTGAAAAAATATGCTCCTTGGAGCCCTAGAACCAGCATACCTCCTGTGCCTCCCTCTAGTGAGCTGCCTCCTCTGACTTCTAGGTGTTCTATCAATTAACCAGCATAACATGCTTAACAGGGTGCACAGCAGCGCTAGCGCAACCTGTAAAATATGGCTGTCCTGGGCCTGTAAACGAGTCAGCTTTGCCGGGAGACTGGAGTGGACGAAAAGGAGTCCCAGCCACACAAAGGAGGCCACAGCATCCCACAACACTAGCCTGGAATAATAGGTCATCACATTTATCTATACATATTGAGGGATCATGCTATATAACACAAACTTTGAATCACTTGTAATGAACCAGAACCCAGTTTCATCAACACTGGACAGCACTATCCTACGGATAACAATATCCTTTGGATAAGATTGTTATCCTCTGGACAGTTATCCTGAGGACAGCCTTTTTAATCATGGAAAGCAATATCTGAGATAAAATAAGTATCTAGTGTTTAGTAAACATTACTTTACCCACAGGATAATTGCCCAGAGGGTAACAATTTTATCTAATAGATACTGTTTTTCATAGTTATTCAGCGCTATCCAATGTTGATGAAACTGAGCCCAGATGTTGTCATGTTCACATCATGAATATAAAGGTAGAAACAGGGACATAAACAGGAGAGAAAATATAGGCAACATCAAGCAGTATATACACTGTAAACTTGTTGTACTGAGGATGAAGTATATTACCTGGTTCTTTTTTTACTTGGCGATCAGAATATACTATATATCAAGAAAATTAGATATATATACTACAACATAACATAGCTCACAGCCAAAAGTCAACATTTCAAATCACCAACTCAAGCATTTAAACCAGTATTATAAAACATTTTACTTGACTGCTTTTACTAAACTGTTATTAAAACTCAAATAAGGCTAAAACCTGAACCTCAAGATGTGAAATCAGTTTTTAAATAAAAACAATAATAATAATAAATATTATTATTATTATTATTATTATAAAGACAGTGCACTGTATCACATCATCCTATCTGCCCACCTATCTTTCCCAAACAGAAATGTTGCTGTTATCCCACTGAAAAATCCCAGAAACACCACTGTATACGCCAGGCTGTAGATCTGGGACAGATACTTCAGAGCACTTCTAGGTAGATATCGCTGCAGGTTGATGAGGGGAGTGTCGCTGTGTTCCTGAAGACTGTGGAAGTTGATGACTAGCAGCGTGATTGCACACAGGAGGGAGGTGAGGCGTAATAGATTGATGTGAGCAGGTGGCCCCACCTTGTGGACAAAATGATCCTAAAATAAAAAGTACACTTGAGTATGCATGTTAACAGTCATTTTTCAGGTATCTTATTGTGAGGGAGATTTAGACAATGATGCTCTCTGTGGCGCACTGTTCTTCACACCAGCCTGCTTGCCCTAGACTCACACAGTCAACCATCAAAGAACCTTCCCAATTGACCAGCTACTATGTACTCTTCCTGATTTATTCATGAGACAGAAAATGTCATTTTTCCAAGAGGCAGCCTAATTTCCTTTGTTTTACATATTAGATGAACATAAACAATTATCCCAAATGTGACACTTTTACTTTATATCTATCTTAAAAAGTGTACAGACTAATATATCTCTAGTTATATGTAACATGCAGAGAATGAAGTCTTACTGAGCAAGCTGAGGGAGAGTCAGGTGTCTTCAGGTGTTGTTTCATCATCTTTCTCTGTAACACCTGGTCTTGTTTGTTTAATGTTTGTTTAACTTTGATGTGACAGGTTTTACACAGTTGATAGGTATGCTCCAGCTGATCTCTGTACATGGCCACCTCTGTGTCATAGTTACCCTGCGAACAGACAACTGGTCAATTACACTACATTACCAACACAACACAGACTGGATTACTTTGAAAATATCAATACACAAGGATATAAATGGAAAAAACAATATAAATATTATTATTAAGGCTTAAATACAACTTAAATAATAATGAAAAATGTATCATGGCCAGCTGTCTATATATTTATTGATTTTAAAACATACTATAGTAATACAAAATAAACATGAAATAGAAATCAGGATTTTATATATATATATATATATATATATACATATATATCTTTAAAACAAACATATTTATATATTTTAAAATACTTTATCACAATCAAGTTTTTTTTTCCAGAGGGGGGAAAAGAAAGAAAAGGAAATATTGCAACGCTATCAATTATCAAAACAAACAATTTTAGAAATTGTACTTGTAATTTTCACTAGCTGTCAAAATAGGTAGACCTCAAGAGATGTGGTCCAGTGAATATCACACAGAAAAACCAGCAGCAATATTCAGGTTTCACAGGCTCAGCATACCTCGTTACAGGGGACAAAGTTGGCCAACTGTTTGATCTTGAGGAGCTGATTCCTGCTGCAAGCCTCACACAACACACTGCGGCTGTCTTTGTAGGCATCTTCTGTCTGTACTGCTGTCATTGGATGGTTCATACTCTCATAATACTGGGACGGGATGGGCTTGTTGTAGTCACCATCCTGGCATGGAATGTAGTACAGAAATTCCATATTATTGTAATTTTAAATTTTTTAAAAACATATTTATTAAGGAAATTAGTATGAAAATGAAGAGCATAAAAATTTTTAATAATTTTTATATCTTTTTCCTCTCTCTCTCTTTCCCCTCTCTCTCTCTCTCTCTCTTTCTCTCTCTCTCTCTCACACGCACACATACACACACACACACACATACACACACAAACATACACACACACACACCTGAGTCAGTAGAAGGTTACCTGAGCAAACCCGTTGTACTGTTCACAGTGAGGGCAGTCCCAGCAGTCCTTGTTTCCATACGGCACTACTGTATCACGGCAACAAAACCAGCAGTTGACACGGATGCTGAACTTGGGTCTGGAAATAAATTAGATGTATTGCATTATGACAAGGTGGAGAGCCAATTCCTTATCTCTCTTTCTCTCAATTTTATTATCAACTGTAGTAGTAGTAGTGGTAGTACAACACTTCAGTTAAGCCCCCGTCACACTTGTTCGGAATCAACAGGAATCAAGCAGAATGAGCCGAAATGAAGAATTTTCAAAATTGGCACCACATTCGGGTGGAAAGTTCAAATTGACATTAATTCTCATAAGAGTACCATTGGAATACTCAGAATGCGCTCGAATTCGCCTGATTCGTGTACATTGCAGGTGTATTAGCTCTCAAATGCAGCTCGGATGTAGTTGGAAAACTAGGAATATCGATAATGTTGTCAGAAGGCAGTCAGAATATATTTAGAATATACTTTGAGTGCTGTACGAGTGTAGTTCGAATGCTGGCTGAAATAGGATTCCGGATCATGCTAGGCACATTCGAAACATTCTGGCAGGATTTAAAGTAACTTGCCTGTCCGGATCTCCCTCAAATATGATCTGACTGTTTCGAATGCTGTCAGAATGCCGTGAGAATATTTAGAATGCAGTTATAGTACAGTTAGAATACTTTTTAAAGTATTTCCCACTTGGAATGCACTTCGAAAGTTTTAACATGAGCAAAACATTCGGGCGGCCACAAGAATGGGTAAAAATATTTGGATGCACTTGGAATTTTTAGAATGCTCTTCAAATATCCAGGAACGCACAAAGAATTGTCTTTCCGACAGCATTCTTGCTCATTCTGCCTCTAGTGTGACGGGGGTTTTATGGGATTGACAGGCAGATGTAAGAATGGTTTTTAGTGCATTTTGATGCAGTAATTGATAAGTAAAACCACTCACAGCCCACAGGACTTCAAATATATGTTGTACATCTAGTAAGTAGTTAGCTGGCAACCCCTCCGACATCTTTTTTTTTGCTTTTATGTTTTAATTTCCATTCAATTGATTAATAAAACCATAGGAGCAATGAATCTTGGATTTTCACTTTTCTTTTTTAAAGGTATGTTTAATTCCAAAGCAACAGAGAAACAATCTGGGTCTGATCAAGGAAGGTTCAAGTAATACCAAACTAAACTATGTCCTATTGTGATTCACATACATCTTGGAAATTGACAACTTTATTTCAGTGTCATATAAAAGCCTATCACTTAAATGAAGCACTTGTATTAACAGTATTAATTTTTATTGGTGGGCCATTCCATGGTATTTTTTTGCTGTTACGGAAGGACATTTGACACTTCAAATGAAAATATTTTCAAAAGTAAAAAAGTTACAAGGTCCATTTTTTGTATGTTTATTCTTCTATATGTAAGTTATAATTAGGCAAAAAATTATAGTTATGAAAAAATTATAATAAATAGTTAGCATCTCGGAAGGACGTGAAATGGACATGGTTTTTTAACTTTCAACTTCAACACTAAAATTCTGCTCTGTCTGTGTATATATTTTTTAAGTCAAATCAAAATATGAATATTTGATTATTTCACTTTCTCAGTGTATAAAAATGTTTTTGGAAAAAAAATAATATATTTGAAAATTTTGCATATAAAAATATCTAGTAGGCATCATGGAAGGACGCATCTCGGAAGGACGTTTTGTCCATTGCTAAATAAAATGTAAAATAAGGCTAATAAAAATATTTTATGAATACATACCAGCATAAGTTTGATGAATAATATCAAAGGTAAACATGTCCTTCTATGGTAATGTATTTCATCTTCAAACAAGTTACTAATTTTGACTATAATATAAGTTCTCATCTGCTCTGATCATCTTTAAATAATATTGAGACATTTTTAGAGAAAATCTTGCCAAATCTATTAATTATAAATATAAACAATTGTCTAAATTATTATAACTTCAAAATTATTCATTCAAATGAAATGTTTCTCAGTTTAAAAATGCTTATATATATAATAATTGTGAATTTTAAGTTCAAGATTATCTTGAAAGACATAAGGGTTTAGGGCTCATTGGTCACATGACCTGTTATGGTCCAATCAAAATGCCTCATACGTGCTTCCACTGTGCTAGATGTCATGTTTAATGCTTATATATTTGTATTTAATTTCTTATTGAAGTGGTTCTAAGCAAAAATGTTTTCATATTTTGTTGGCCCCTATCATGGTTGAGGAGAATATGAAGTTATAAGTTTTTAGCTTTTGTAGTTACTGAGAAAACTTTAAAAATAGGTACCAAAATCATCTCGGAAGGACAAATTGATATTAATTAATCCATTATTTTATAATCAAATATTTTTTAATCTAATGCACTTGACTAAATGTAAGAAATAAGTTATATTTAATGTATTTAGCCTTTATTGTTTAAAATGATCTCTATTATGAAAAATATATCAAAAATAAAAATGTCCTTCCGTGACACTATTTTATAAGTTTTCCAGATAAAAGTGTCAATAAAATCATAATTAATCATCAGAACCTAAAATTTCTTTTGGATTCTGGTGTCTTATGGTGTCTGGTTTCAGAAATTATAAGTTTTATAAGTAGGATACCTTTTTCAAATTTTGACTTCTACGGACCAAATACCACGGAATGGCCCAGGTCTAAACTTTTTAAAAGTGGCAAAAAAACTAGAGAGTAATTACATTTTAGTATGGTTGTAAGTGCCAGATTCCTTGCTTTAGATAAACAAGGTGTTAGTGCTAGATTCCTTGTTTTACATATACAAGGTGTGAGTAGTTTTCACGACTTGCGCAAGTTGTGCGCCTGTTTTGAATGTAACCGAGTCATAACGCTACAGGATTTTGCACAAGTAGGGTCTCTCCTGCATTTTACCGTTATTTCCAACATTGTATGGTGTATTGTTACAGTTGTACGGAGAAATCATAATGTAAGTTGTAACGTGCAAAATAGATTGCATTAAGAGTATCGGGATTAATAATGCCATATCAGGACTCACCGACAAAGAATTAATGATGGTGGGCTCCGTATCAAAGGCCACCGACAAGAACAATAGTAGTTATGTTAGGGAAACGGTGGGGTCGGCTCGTTAAAGGATAATCAGGCTCGGATATCGATTTGATGATCGTAATCACTGAGATAACTAATAGAGTAGCAAGGAGAAACGTCCAGAAGGGACCTCTAGGCAGACACACAGTCGCCAATAGTTTAGCGGTCCTTACGACATCTTATCAAAGTCTGATGAAACTTTAAAGAGCTCTCCCCCATCAGGTATAAAAGATAGTCTCTTTGCTGTATGAGACAGATTGAGAGGGAGTAAGGACATACGAAGACGACAGAGTCCTTGGATCAGCGAGCGACTGTATGGCCGACGCTCAGGCCGCTTCTAACCTGCACAATAAACCGTTAGAGTAACCATCTCGGTTGTTGCGTTTTTTGAGTCCACCTCCGGCAAAGGCGCACGACAACAAGGCCTTTACGAACCTCACGAAAAACAGAAATACCTTTAACTTGAGGGTTACAAAGTGTTTATCTTATCAAAATATATTTGTGCATTGTATTTATTAGTTTTCTGTATAAATAATAAAGGTAAAATATTGGTATATTAGCTACAGTGATTGGGAAGGAACGCGCCATTGCGCCATACGCGCATAGAATCGTAACTGGGCGCATAAGGGCGCATGATTTTGTAGTACCTCGCGTTTTTAAAAAGAGTCTACTCGTCAATAAACTATTCGTCAACTGATTAGCCTAATTTTCCTCTCATACCTGAAGACGTCTCAGGAACGAATTCGGAAGCTATCGAACGCAATCGCCGAAGTTTGCCGAGAGCAATGAGCACATCGTTAGATATGCTAATGAAATAAAAGCTGATATCTTATTGGCCAATCAGTTTATAGGTCATCTTTATCCAATTAGAAGTAACCTTGCTTTTCGTTCTGAAAGCACATGGGACTTTGGTGAAGTGAAAAGAAAAGTGCCGCCGAAAAAGATTTTTAAAATCTCGCCAGTTTATTTACTTCAACCGCTTCGTCTAAGGGTCCGTCCAACGTTCAGGAAGAAGTCTCAAAGGAGACGGGGGAAGAAAATGTACCAACTTTTGAGAGCAGCGCTCCTTGCACTACGACGAGTAGTAGTGACACTGACAATAGTGTTACTGCTAGTGCTAGCACCTCTCACTCTCAGGTCGCACGAGGTTTCCAACCCCGATGGCTTCAACTATGGCCCTGGCTCCAGTACGACTGCAAACAGTGTAAGAGTTAAGATTCTTGGGAGTAAGATAAGTTATGAGGATGCACTGAATTTGTGGCACAGGAAAAAGAGATTACTTCATTAAGTAATGAAATCTCTCTTCAGTAAGACTGATTAATTAGTACTAGACAGTATGTGAAGACAATTTCATTTACATTTTCTCAGTTTTGAGTAATCAAGGTTTTTCAGAGATCTAGATTGTTTACCTCTTGTTGATGGTTTCATCAAATAAAAACCAATTACTAATGAGTATTACTAGTACGTTTTCTGATCATTTTGTTTTTTCATTTAGTCTTCAAATAAGTTCGGTTAAGAAGGCATTGTAATGGTTTTATTGAAAAAGACAAATAAAAGTCTTAACTAAATAAATATATTAACAAAGTTTAACTGCAAAACCTTATCATATTATTCCCAAAAATATTGATACAGATATTTCAAATATATTTGTCATGTTTAAAAATGGCCCATAAATGTCAAGCGATGGCCCATTGATATGCAAAATGGCCCATTAAGGGTGACCCAGGAGGGGCCATTGTCCCATGGGTGGTTTGAACCTTCCCAATCACTGTAGCTAGAGCACCTGGTTGAGCGTGGCCATTAGTATGAAATACAGTAAATGTAAAATACAAGAATGTATTGGTATAATTGTCAACTATAAAGCCTTACTGTAATTCAGTATTTAACATTTTAATTAAAATTATATTATGGTAATTGCATTATAAGGTAAATTTCATATTATTTGTGCTCATTGAATAGATATAACAGATTCAAGTCTCGCTATATAAAGCCGACTTAATGTAATGTTCAATTTATCTAGTATATCTTGCTGATATGTTGACTTGCTCATTTGCGGTACCGACATAAGAGATGTGAATGGCAAATTGTTAACTGAACTGAACGCTGAAATAAAGCACAAGTTACATATATTCTCCACTGTCTCAACGATTTCACAATGGTGATCAACAACAATAAAGAACAAAAAGAGGCCATTAATTCAAATAGTATAATGCTTTAAAATCTTAATTTGAATGTGTACATACATTAAAATTAAAAGGCATCTGATCTCTGAACACAAAAACCCATGTCTCTACACTGGAAATGAAACTTCGTGTCTTGCAATGGCTATGGAAAATATATTTTTAGGATTAGTCTGGACCTCTATCCACTATGTACTAGTAATCCAGTCACGATATGGGATATTTTCAACTGTTTATTGCAACTAACATTTAAATCTCGTAAATAAAATCATATCAAACCCTCCGAAACATGATTTGTATGGAAGACATTTCAACAATCCATTGCACGCTGTCGGTGCACCTCAAGTTCACCACAACTTCCCAAGACTAGATCTAACTTGAATTCCAAGGCACAGTGATTTACCGGTAGACATAAAAAAACACTTACCTAATGATTCTGTATAAAATTGCACCAGCTGCTATTGCACTTGACGTTCCAGCAACTAAAGGCAAAACTGTAGTCATATTTTTCAATGAAATCAACTAGAAATAACCCCAAAAGTGTACGAACGTAAGGGGGTTCACGCTTTGTGACACACAGACAGACGCCATCTATCGACATCTCTCGAAAGAAAAGAGCAAACATTGATTTATTGCTAAATTGTTACATATAACATTTACAGTGTTATTATGAATACCNATCTCGGGCCTACATGTGACTGTAGGTCCCTGCATGTATCATATCAGTGCAGAGGCTGATTATCCTGAAATGATTTCTCCGTCTAGTCTGGGAAGTGTCGCAAACTGAATCGTTTACGTGTTCTCACGTCAGTTATTCCAGGACTTAACTAATTGTCGTTTAATTACTATCATGTTTGTTTGAAAAGAGAAATTGGTTATTGGAGTTGAGTCACAGAGTGTTCTTGTAGAAGAAGTCTGTCCAATGAATAAACTACCACGTGGTGGAGGGGCCTTGTATAAGTGTCACCTAGGATTGCGCAAGGACATAGCCCATGCTTTGTCCATGCTTTTTACAGAAGTATGTAAAAAAAAAGTGGTACTAGCTTCTGATAACCTCCAGAGATAACTGGGCAAGTGACCTAGTTTCTAAGGTATTTGGACAAAGGTTAAGCAAAAGAAATTATTCAACGCCAGCCTCGTTTGATTTGACTCTTTTCCAAGGTGACCACACCTGTTTGTTTAAATTGAGTAGCTTGATACAAGAAGATAGAATCCAGTTTGTACAAGTCATATTGTGCGACAAAAAGTATGTGCATTAAATTTTTTTTCAATCAAAGCAGAACTATCATGTGTAGTTAAAAGTGAGAAGCATATATATCGCGGTTTTTAATGCCAGAGACCGCTTGGGCTTGACCATAAGCATTATTATGGAAGTATTTTTGTGCACAGAAAACTTGCGTCAGCACAGAATTAAACGCGTGGTCTTAGCTGTCGTGTGGAGAGAGACGACTTGCACTGAGCAAGCAGGCGCACTGTAAGCTAACATAGATAAGACCTCACTGGAAAGGCTACCGTTGATATAACCTTCATATATTTAACCTAGCTGTGTAAATTTACAACCAATCAGTTTACCATTTACATTTCGATAAATGAGCGTTATTATCCAACCCTATAATCGGCTATCAGATCATCAGTCTGGCACTCAGTTTACTTTTGTTGGGTGTCTTCATACGAGATAGATACTCGAGGAGCATTTTCCAGTTCTTTTTATGACGGGAGAATCAATTCTGTACTATATCACGGACACTGTTTTTACGGTGACTATCTCCCCCAACAGATAGGCTAGACTGGCTTCTTGTGGATAGGACCGTTTGATAAGATGGTGCGGAACTGTAAATGTTCATACCGCACGAAAATGCAGTAGTATCGAAGTAGCAAAGAAGCATTAACGCAGTAGTGGTGTAGAGCATATTTGCAGTAGAAATGCAGCATAGCCTACTGCAATTCTACTTCAAAAATTACATAGGGTCGTTCAGAGGAGGAGCATTAATGCAGTAGATTTGCAGCATGATAGAAGCATGTTTCAAATATGCTAATTAGCTCCCCAGTCGAAGCAGATTTGAAGCATGTTTGCAGTAGAATTGCAGTAGTCTACTGCGCTGGAGTATCTACTTCGTTTGCGTGCGGGATATATTAGACACAAGGTGCACCGAGGCTTCTTATTAAAACCAACATAAATTCCATGGTTGTGTTAAGTGGGAAGTTGCACCCCCGTCAAAGTTATCCTCTCTTTCCTGTTTTTATTAGTGTCACATTCGTGTTTATTCTGTAATTTTCTTAGAGAAAAAATGGGTTCATTGCATCCCATCACACCCTCTCTCTCTCTCTCTCTCTCTCTCTCTCTCTCTCTCTCTCAGCCCAACTCGTGGTCTGATTTTGCCACGTGATTGTTCGGCTCTGTTAACTGCACGCCTGATGAGAAATTAGTATGAAATTTAAACAAAGACTCCAAGTCACTATTTCTATCACGCAGGCCAGATTACACTTGTACACGGGCACGCATATACCTAGCATCAGCACTGTGAAGCCCACCGGCAGCAAGAGCTAAGATGCATTTGTCCGAGTCTCGTTTTTCATCTTATTTTATCTTAAAAATCAATATATAACCTCTGCCAGACGGACTTTATCAATAACATTACGCAAAGAATTATTTTTATCCAGTTAGACTACATCTATATAAGTGATTTAGACTCTCTGGATCGATCTAAACCTCTGGGAATGCACCCTTACATGAGCCCAGCCCGTCCAGTAATGGTTCCACTTAATGCTGTAGAGAAGTAAGGCGGGTACATCTGTCGCATTTATTTCTTCCCAGTGTATTGTATCAGCCTGCTGAGAGGGACAAAAATTATACGTAGGGGTATTATTTCATATTGTTCATGCCACATGTCCCCGCCAGCTGTAATAAATGGTAATGGTTTCACATCGTGATTCATGTCTTATAATAAAGTATTGCTGTCAGAAGTATGCAGACGTTATTTTTCTTGCTGTAAGTACCGGTACATGATATTGCACGCGGTGAAAGCAGAATATCGAAAAAAGAAATCAAGTTGCCATTCATTTGTTAATGATTCAGACTCACTCGCGCCACCCCTCTTTGGAAAGTAGGCTATACATAACTGACTCCCCCCCCCCCCCCTCCATCTTACCTTCGTAGATATGTACTTGTACGAAATATCTATTATTATTTTTTTTGTACACATACATGCACAGTGTACAGGCAAACAAAATATTTTAGGTGTTTAGGATGTGACACTGTTTGGCGACACTTACTGCCGTAGACAATACGTCTTACGGCCTTAGTATCTTTATTTGTATTATATTATTATATTGTTTGTGCTCGAGCAGGCCTTGATTGTAAGATCATGCTGATGTTATCCAATGAATGTGTTTTACATATAAGGGGAGAATTATTTCTACGAAGAAATTCTTTACGGAACGGGCTTTTGTAGGACATTTCATACTTTTACTTCACTTATCAGTGTCGAGTTTTCCAAACAATATTGTGAATTTCAGTGACTATATACCATATTGTGCTTTAAGTTTGTGCGTTAAGTTTCAAAATAAAACTGAAAAATTCTATTTCATTTTTACAATTAATTAAATTCAATATCTGTGAGTCATAATATATCTGTGAGTCATAATAGTCTGAGATATATCTGTGAGTCATAATAGGACTTTGTTATTCTTATTCTTATATAATACAAACTAGGCCCGTACTACAGGGTGACCAGCAGGGTTGTTATCTAGAGGAAGAGTGAATATCAGAATGCTTTGTGTCTGATGGCACATCTATACCTCTAACGGAATATTGGAACGACGTAATGATTTATGGTGAAAGGCCGATGTTTTATTTCCAATTGACCTGAATTTACATGAGTGCCTGGAGTTGGTGACAGTGTCAAATAGTGGATGTAATATTCACTGTGTTTTTTTTTTCACTGTATGTTTAGTTATAGGTAGCTACATGAAAACTAATCTTTCTCAAAATGAAAGACCATTTGCATTTTTTTGTGTGACTAAAGTAAATTTACAGCATTCTGTGTACATGCAACCTGGTATTAAAACCATCATAAAGAGACGGTCATGTGTTTAACAGTTATCTCCTGTATCCTAAATGACCTTTTTTTATAGAAGCCATGTATTTTATTAAAACACATGGCACAAATGGATTACATGGATTAGAAAAATAACCGTCTTCAACCTGACGTCTTATCCATAGCCAAGTTCAACTCTCTTCTAAATCGAAAGTGACCGTGTTCCTTCAGAAATGCGCATCCGATCTTCTCGTAGTATAGTGTCTTTGTACAGTTTTTTATTATTTGTCTTATATTTTAATTTAGAGAAAAATACGCACAATAATTAGAAACAAAAAAAAAGTTGTCAGCAAACTTAAAGCACAATAACAGTAAACTAGTGGGTACTAAAATAACATCGTAGTGTGCATTGGTATTTCAGGTATACACATGAGCAAATAAACCACAGTGCCTTATTTTGTTTCTACTTAGCACTCCGAAACAAACACTGTTTTATTCCCCCATTCCTCGTGCCTCGTACTGGTTGGTTGTCGTGTTCAGCATAATAATGATATAGTAAACATTTGTAACGATATACACGGGCAAGTGTGTGTGCGTTTTTAAATTCACTGCGCGCATTGACTTGGTTAAATAGAACAAATGATCTTCACGATTTTCAGTTGTTTTTGTATACGTAAGCCTTGTTACACCACGGTGTTTTGATTGGTTCATGCGGCTAGCATGGAGGAGAGATCGATCGATACCGACGCATAATACACGCCGTATACTCTCTAATGAATACGGCCTTCAGTGCAAGCTGCATAATGTACTCTATGGCTGAGTAAGGTCGTGAAGGACGCCAGTGCTGGTTACACGGAGGAGTTGTATCTCGGTGGGGTTTGAAGGCAATTAAGACGGTATCTCAGGGTTCACGATGGAGGGTTCTGGTACAGATCCAGTGTTAACGGAAAGGTTGAAGGTATGTGATGGTTTGAGAGGTGTCGTCTCTTCTCTGGGTTGGTTTACCAGCGTGCTGTGTAGGTAGATAGCTGTGTCATTGAGATTTAACCTTCCCAATGTTTTTAGCTCGACCTCTGTGAAAATACGTATTGTGTGCTGTGTGCTGTCAACAGCCGTAGCTCCCGCCACGGTATAACTGCCAGGCGGTTATGTCCTGATTAATACACACACCTGTAGTAATCCACCACAGTTAATAGTAAACCGATACTACACCAAACCTCTGTTGTACTAAGGTAAATACAGACTTGATATTTAATATGGAATATTTTTTTCGAAATAATTTTTTATCAGTTTTTTCCTATTTTGCTGACTGATAAATGAAAATAAGGATTAAAATCGTTTTTTAATAACTTTAAATTATCTCTTTGATGTCATTGTGACATCAGTTCATTAATGGAATTCGCCAGAGAAGCAAACAAAAACACGTTGCCTATNTCTATGCAGTAGTTGCCGAAATATGGATATTTTTTTGACAGAACCAAGCTTTGCCTAAGCCAAGCTTTGATCAGCCCAAAGGAACACTACCCAATTAAATCACTGCAAATTACATAATGTAGCAGCGCAACAGGCATGAAAGTCAGTTAATTGGTAGTGACACACCTGACTGCACACTTTTACATTCACAAATCTTATATGAGATCGGAGTTTTTTGAAAAAAGAACGTATTTTTACCTAGGTATACCTTCGAAACTGAAATATTCCATATTAAATGTCAAGTCTGTATTTTATGGGTTTTCATGCTTGTGTATGGGCAAGGTACGTACTTGAGCTAAACACCGTACATGTTGAAGTATGGGTATGTGTAGTTGGTGACACAGTAAATTGCCGTTATTCTAGTTTTTTAAACACTGTTTTTACTCCATCCTGTTTAAACAGGATATAAAGTAGGACTTGGCACTTTATGTTATTCCTTAGCCGTGTCCTTAAGCGGACGCTTGCCCAGAAGCTCTAATCAATCGCATTAATCAAAATAAGGTGGCAGTAGCTCAATCTGGCTCTCCTGACTCTGACTCTGTTAATAAGTTCACTGTTCATAGGGTGCTAGTTCTCTCTTATCATAAGGTGCTAGAACCCTCTACCAGGGTGGCAGATATTATAGGCACATATTTCACATTTAGAAGATTGACCGTATTAAGCTAGAGACATTATCTGTGAATATGTAGTGAACAGTCAATCTGTGGTCCTGGTAGAGGGTAGGGCGCTAGTTCTCACTGTACATAGGGCGCTAGTTTTTAGAGGCGTGCTCTCAACAGTCGCTGGGAGTGAGGGTGGAGCAGCTAGACTTGCACAAGAAAGTCGCTGTTTTGTATTTAGTGAACTACCCTGAGGCCTGGAGTCTAATAAAACATATTTCATTACACTGCACCCTGAGAGGACCTAGTTTCAATAGCGGTGGCGAGGTACGTGTGAGTGAATCACAGCGGATGCAAAGAAGATGGATTTACGTAACATGTGGTTTTCTTGTGCGATCATGTTTGTCAAAGTTTATGTACATTGGACTTGACGCTCCAGTTGAATAAGTATACGGCTTTAAGGAATCGATGGATGTTGTACTGTGATTTCTTGCTTTAAGTTTGAATTCTACAGCAAATAAATCAGGGTGCGCTAGTAGTCTGTTACAAAATAATTGTATGCTCGTACTTTAATTTTGTATACTATTTTAGGAGCCACTGATATCAGAGGGTAGTCTGACTAACTCCTTTATGTCTCCTTATTAACCCAAGCGAAAATTTAAGTGAACGACAAACACAAATATGGTGTTCAAAATATGGCCGTTGACGGCCGCTTTTATTGAAAGGTCCCTCTAGTAAAAGAATAGTGTAAAGTTATTACAAAGCATTAAATAATGTTGAGTAAAATTAAAATTGCGTAATGCTACAGCATAAATAATAAATATCCAAACAAATAGTGCACATATTTACATTTGTGGGGTTGCAAAGAGGCCCTATAGGGACAATGTAGCATTAAACGGAGCCGTGATTGCCAAATCTACTTTTCTGCTTCATTTTCTATCACAAACCCTGACTGACCCTTGCCTCGCGTCCTTGTCGGGGCGCAATAAGGAATATTTAGTTCAGAATTGTAGTGATACGGGCTGGTTATACATACTTCGCACACACAACCAGGAGTCAGCAAGGATCAGCAAGGTGTACGTACAACTGCACCTAGAGCTCAGGATGACAAACTCGTCAGGCATTCCAGTAATAACAGGTGCGCACTGCTGGCGACTCGAGGCTGATACATGTTTTATAGTGGGTGCACACAGGGTGCAAAAACATGCATTTTTCCAGACCTTGGACACAGATATATCCCACTCCCGGCTACTACCATTGTGACTTATGCAAGCGGGATGTGCTAGCTGAACTCCAGGGGTCTTCTCTCTGGCTGATAGAATCCTGGTCCTATTGCGTTTCTGTGGAGACTAGTTTTGTTTTGCCACATATCACACCTGGGCATCAGCTTATTAGGAGGAAAAAATTAAGTAATCGCATCGTATCATAGCAATTTTAGTTCTCTTCCCGCAGATGTTGTATGTACATTATTTACATAATCGCATTGTTGACAAGTGTATAGAATGCACACAATGCAGACAGGCAAATTCAATGTAAAGCAAATCTGGGTGGGCTTGAGGAGGATTTCGTAGGGTGAGTTACGTTGGCATACTTTTTTCCCTTTCAGGCGGATGGTTACAAAAAATTAATGAATAGATAAAAACTCACCAAATCAACTTGAAGTTAAAAACTGCATCAAACACTTGGAACATACTATAGTACCAAAAAAAACCGTATACATTTTATCAGCTCTCTTTCAAATTAAACGAAAACATTCTCAAATAAGAAAAACAAACATTAGACATTTTAAATAGTTATTATGCAAGAAAAAAATATTTTTAGCCTAAGTAAATTAGTCTAGCAGGCTGTGCCGCCAGCATGGGTTGAGGTGTATGTAAACTGAGGTATTAGATCTGGCCTCCTAGGAATTGCCTACTTCTCACATCTATAGGTCAGTCTTCTACATTTGTGGTGTCCATTTACGTACGTTCACCTCAGGGAAAGCCGTTGGTTGAAGTCTTGTATTTACCTGCCCATCCTTGGCTTGGCCTGCCCGACTGTTTATCTGATGTTGATGGTTATTTTCGCTTTCTTATTTCATTTTTTTCCTTACATTTCTTTCTTTTATTTCTACAGTTAGTATAACCTCCTCCTGGCCTTCATCGGCCATCTCTCTCTCTCTCTCTCTCTCTCTCTCTCTCTCTCTCTCTCCACAGCTGAAATGCGAGAAAAGCAATTCTAATATATTTCCCCGCCTCAACACGAGACAAACTCGAGTCGTAAGAAAAAACGTCAAAGAGATGACAGGACTGTATGGTCAGAGATATTAAGATGACATTCATGACCTACCCATTTTATGCTTGACTCCTGCCTGTGTCCGGCCATACCTGCTAACAACCCACCCGTGACCATGGCGTGTGACATGTCCACTGGTTAACAGTGACAGAAGGGACAAATCGCCAGAGAAAGTGCCTTCAATCACATTCTAATCTTTTCAAAAAGTTTTTCACTTAAACTAGCTAAGGAGAGTGACTAAATATGAAAGCAGCACGTTTTTCTACGGTAAAGCGCTCTGGTTCAGCGTAAGCAAGGACCTGAAGTGCTATGGTTTTGATTTTTCTTTCGAATCAGGACGGACACCCTGTATTTGGTGTACGTGTTTTGCGAAAAGTCCTACACGCTTTCGGTGACAGTTGGTCTGGGACGTGCACTGAAGTAGACACGTATATGACACTGTATATGGTGTACTGACTGTGATAGTCTGGCGTCACAATAGATTTCTGGGTCTAACTTGATATGATGTGACGTACTGTACATGTACTGTGAGGTCACTTTCACACAACGAACAAACATCGTACGTGTGATGCACGATCACAACAGTCTTACTTATGCTGCACGCAAATACACTTTGAACGTGACATCTTTCACTTGCATCCAGCTATAAATTAAACAACTTCACGAAACTTCTCAAATAAAAAATATCAGAAGATTCCAATAATTATTTTAATTTCATGTAATTTATCAGTGTTTAAGAGGATAGTGTTGTACAGTCAGCAGCTTCTTGCGACCAGGCACTGCTGTTGTCACTTGGGTGAGCTATGCGGCTCTTATGTATTCTTTACACGACTGGCGGACGTTGACAAAGTAAATGATGGCATTTTTTTTTAATCAGAGGAATGACTTTGATATAGTGTTTTGTTTACTGAAAAGGCGAAGCGGTTGAATTGCGGAACATAATTGACAAATACTGCTCTCTGACCCCAGGGTGCGCTAGTAGTCTGTTACCAAAATGTTGCCCATAGTGTGATTGTGTGTTGTATTTTAGTGGGCCCCTGATATCAGAGGGTAGACAAATACATGTCTTTTTAGTATAAACTGTGTACATTCAAGACTGGAACTGATCATTTTCATGTTATGTCATTTTAAAAGACAATTTATAACTTAAAGGATATACTACTTTACCACAGAAATGCATTCTTCATTGCCGTATTCTTCTGCATGATTAAAAAAATGCATGGACAAAGTACACATAGAGTAGAAAATAGTTTATGATATAAATGATCGTTTTCTGTTGAACAAATCGCCGACGACCGTAATGTTTCCTTCTGACTACGGCTCCATGTACATATCTGTTGTCAAAGTCCTAAAATGATAAACATTAGGTACCCTAAGCCCTTTAGTGGTACGTATAAAAGATACAATAAAAAACTCTATGATAGTTGTTGACTGGAGCACTGACTTGATAAGAAATGGGTGTCGTCACTGACCCCAGTTTTCACACGACTATATACTACTGACAGCCAACTGATCACAGTGACATTGAGGACCAGCCACAGTCAGCTGACAACACACATTTTAGACCTGGAGGGGCAGAGCGACATTTTACATTCAAAGTACTCTAAATTTA